GGTGCCCTTTCATCTCGTATATATAATCTACTATAGTGTAAATACAATAATCTGAAATGTTTCTTATTAACATTTAACATTCTTAAGAACTCAATATGAGGGGAAGTAATACAAAAGAATGGTGTTGTGCTCGATTCACCACCCCAAATTAATTTTTAATGCTTCGTCATGTGCTTTATTTCAAATCCTGCCACCAGGACGGGAATGAGTCGATGATCTAATAGTTTGTTTGGGACAACGTCTTTTAGACTTGTTGGTTTAATCCAGTGACCAATGGTGGATTTCAATCTGGGCCAACATATTTTATTCAAGAGCTTGACTTACACAGTTACCAGCCATGTTGCCCAGGGCTTTTACACAGTGCCACCGAGAGACAAAGCGCCGACTCTGTTCCATCCTGAAAGCGATCTCTATGTGTAATAGCTTGTGAAGTGACCTCTATAGTATTGAGAGGCTTTGCTTCTGCTTCTGTTTGTTAGTGGTGTGTGTTTAGATGTAGAAGGCTGGTGCATTTGAACTTGTTTTCCTCAGAACCTGAACTACACAATAGGCCAGGGTTACATCATCCTCCACCGAAAGCCAATCAGAGGAACGCAGGATGATTTTTGATATTTTAATTAGCAGCTGTAGCTCCGTTACATCATATTTGCCATCATATTTTCATTTCCAGAGACTGTCGGTCGGCAAGACTGAAAGATTTCCACAGAGGGCTTAAGGCGATTATTCACATAAAAAAAAAAAATATATACATAATTGTTATCCGAATGCTTTCTTTTGAAGCCTCTGCACCAAAAATCACTCTCTGAAACATTCTCGTACACTTCCCACTGACGACTTTGCAGTAGCAAAGAGAGCAAAAACCTGTAATGGTAACCATGGAAACAGTCCAGTCAGCCAACAGTGTGTGTAGCCTTCTGGTGTTCATGGTGTACATACTGAGTGAGCCTCTCTGACTCAGACTCCCTGCAAAATAACAAGCAGCCTCTAAACAAATCCACTGCAACTTCAGTATCACTGATATACAATTAAAACCGGCAGATGATCTTGATCAGTTTGATCAGAGAAGTGTGACAGACTGTATACAGTATATCGTATGATTGAATAATATACTAACAATGATTTAAATGCTGTATTAGGCAATTTTATAAAATGTTTAAAACAGCATTTATATGTGTAAATGTAATAATTGTATTTATTATAATATTTTATTGTGGGTTATATCTGTTTAAAACAATATTTGTGTAATTAATTTAAATGTAATGATAAATGCAATAAAATAATAGCGGTTTTTATGTATATTATGTAATATGTACTAAATGTCCAAAAACAGAAGGATGCAACACAGGAAGAATCCAAATAACAAGTTTATTTGCAGGTTTGGCAGACAATTGAAGTAAGCAGGTGAGAAACTGAGAAATGGCTAGTTGTCGAAGGAATGGCAGTGGACAACAGTGTTATTTGTTGCAGATGCAGTGTTGGAGATGGTGGACCGGTGTTGTCCTGGTGCTGGACCGGTGGCCTGTGGGGAGCCGGTGACCCGGGCAGTGCCGGCGGGATGGGTGGCCTCCAGGGTGGCACTGGCGGTGCAGTTAGCTCAGGGGAAATTTGGGAACGACCTTCTTAAGCCTTGTTCACACTACATGATTTTAAGCCCGAATTGCAAATCGTTGAGCTCGCCGACAGGTCAGGGTGTTATCGCGTGCAAGTCGCGGGGGATTAGCGGGCGATGAACGCTCGCCAATCTGTTAGTATGAAAGAGCCAACAACACATCAAAGACGCTCGCAGACGCGTCGCCGAGCCCAGAAAAATATCTAGCATGCTAGATATCCAGAGCTGTCGCACGACTTAACCTCACGTGATGTCATGAGCTACAGCCAATCAGAGCAAGGCATGGGTTGAGGTCACCGGTATACGCGGGTAAATACGCGATTTTCAAAGAAACACGGAAGAAGACGAGATTACAGAAAGATGAGCAACCTGTCGTCAAGAAAGCAATGGACTTCGGATTTGGAGCCAAATTTAATCGAACTGTGGCAGGAGCATGAATGCCTTTATGATGTTGGACATGAGATGTACCGTGTGTCAACTCGTGTAGTGCGTTACCTCCTGTTGCGGATCAATCACGTTGTGTCGTGTGGTGTGAACTAGAGTTCTCAACGGGTCGGGTCGGCCCAACAAACCTGACGGGACGTTCGGGCCGGGTTCGGTTCAAAATATAAGCAAATGACTCGGGTCGGGTCGGACCTCGGGCTTAATCTTTTCTGCTCAGTGAAAAAAAAAACATCGCGGCTGTTCACCGTAAAGAAAGTCTGGCTGCTGCGTGCAACGTGGATCGCGGGTGGCTGGCCGTACCATTGAAGAGAGGAGAGCACACCTCAGTCCATCCACTGTGCACGCACTACTGTTCCTCCACGATGCTTTATAAGCATACGATTATGTTTGTAGGCCTATTTTGTTTCAAAACTGTTAAAAGACGTGAACATTAAAGTTTGATTTGAATTCCCGTCTGCTGGTCATGATAATACGTGTATGAGGAAAAAAAAAAAGAACGCGGTGGCGTCGGGCTGCGGGTCGGGTTCGGGCAGATAATTCATGTTGATGTGTCGGGTTACATCGGTCCGGGCTTTAAAAGCCACGGGCCGGGTCGGGTCGGGTTGTAATTTTCAGGCCCGTTGAGAACTCTAGTGTGAACAGCTCAACAACTTGAACACTCCTGATTTCACAGAGCAAGTCATGTAGTGTGAACCGCACAGTACAGCCCGACGTTTTAAAATCATGTAGTGTGAACTAGGCTTTAGTCGTATTAGGGCTGACAGAAAATTCGGGGACGACCTTCTTAGTCGTATTAGGGCTGACAGAATATTCGGGGACGACCCTTTCAGTCGTATCTGGGAAAACGGAACTAGGGAACGACCTCCATGGTTGTATCTAGACAGACTTGTCCTTCGTAGTCGTATCTGGACAAACTGATAACTCAAAAATGACCTCCTTGGTCATCTCTGGACAAACAGGGAACTTGGGAACTGCCTCTGTGGTTGCATTTAGACAGAAGACTGGGCAACAACCTTCAACTGAAAACTCTGAAAAGACCTCCCTGGTCGTCTCTGGGCAAACAGGAATTACTGGGATGAATACCTCCACTTCGATACGAGTGGGAGAGCAGTGTGCGGACTAAACACACATTATGGCCACCGTCATAACAGGGAGAACAATCATTGGTAGAGGGGTCTCTGAATCCTCGGGGCCTGGAAGTATTTGGCTGGGTTATGGGTACTGGGCTGAGCTCTGGGATGAGAGCCTTCACTGGACTCTGGTTAGGGGCTGGATCTTTCACCGGACTGTACTCTGGAGCTGACTCTTTGTCTGGTGGGGATTATCCTACGGACTCAAGGACTGGAGGTAAATTTAAAGGTAACTCACAGGTACGAGTGGGCTCTGATGCTGATTCAGGGGTTAGAGTGGGCTCCAATGTAGATTATGGGTCCTCGATACAGAACTCTGAGGCTGGAGCGGACTTATTACTGAATTCTGGGGCTCGTGATTGAAATCTGGGATGAGGCTGAACTCGGAGACTGGAGCCAACTCTGGGCTGTGTTCAGGGGCTGGACTGTTTTCCTAGCATGGGCTAGACCCACAGTCACTAAACAGATATTTCATACAGACATTAAAGAATACATAAAAGAACATTTCAGTAATCACAATGGTAACTTATTTCCAATCCCACAACAAAATTTCCCTGTTCTGATCATATAGCCCTCTGCAGGCGTCCGTTTGAAAATGTTCGAGTCATATTGTCTTCAGTCGGCGCGCTCCCATGAAATCTAAACCCGGAGCCCCCGCTGAAACAAAAGCAAAACATAGAAGCCAAATGCAAATCAGGCGCCATATTATTTGCATGTCTCTACCAAACACGGCAGAATTTTTGCCACCACACAGTGCCGGCCTCCCTTGTGCATTGCATAACGCCTTCTGGCAGGAGCTAACGTTATTCAGCTGAGATGGTGTTCCCTGGTGCTTGTGACATTTTTAAAACGCATGATAATGTCACAATCTGAACACACAAATTCATAGAACCTCGGACTGCTCTTTGCTTTTTAGGAAATGTCTCTATCTCCAACTGTGTCCTCGTTTATGCCTTTTAGGGTGGTTTATAATTTTGGCATAGTGCTAAATAGGTAAAAGGCACTTGTATCAAGGCTACTTTAGTGCATTAGTACAGGGATAGGCTACTTTATTTTATAGGTGGCTGTGTTATTATGCATTTATGTACTGAGTAATAAAAATTACCTATATATACTTACTATAGGGGTAGGGGGTTAGTTGCATGCAATAATGCATAATTTATATTTATTATGGCTGTTCTTTATTTTACAGTATGTGCACTTGCAGTGTTCTTACCTAAGAAAGAACTGGTTATTATAAGGCAACTACATGGGTTAAGGTTAGGTTGCGGGGTAGGTTCAGGGTTAGTTCCTAGTTATTAACGTACATGGGGTACGGGACTGTAAAATGTGGTGTTACCGTTATTACTACAGTAACTACATGTAACAAGGACAAATAAAAGTGTGACACATGCCACAGCGTACAATATTGTGAACGCAGCCAAACATGTGGATTGAATATTCATCCACATTGTCAGATCCTCTGCTGTGGTTTCCCTGGTGGACACAATGGAGATTTCATGAGAGGTGAATCTGTTGCCATGGCAGCCCATCCAGCCAGCGTTTTACCTCCAGACTGGCAGGAGAAGCTCTGGGAAACTCACTCGTACAGTTTGCAGATAATACTTGCTCTGACACGCCACGTGATTCCTCCTGATCTCAGCGGACTGGATTTTAGATGGTGCGCTTTGACAATGCTAATCCCAAACCATGAATCATTGAAAGCTTGTGGCAGAGGCGGAAATGTCACGTCCCCTGGATTTGTGCACACGCACCGATTTCAGCCGAGCATTAGAGATGTGTCAGGGGGAGAGAGAAAAAAAAACGTTCTCTTTGAATGTTTCTCAAAATCTTTATTATAACAGATATTCCGTAGAAATGTTCTGTGAGATAAATACGTTATATTCAAGAAGACGTTCTTAAGGTCTTGAGGTTCGTCATGCATGACTAGAATACATCACAAGTATGAAAGAGCCCTGTAAACATGACCACCCAATATTAATATACCCGTGAAGAAAGCACAGAAATATATGTTTCTCTCAGGATAATTTGGCACATCTACAGTAAATATACTTTAAGATTATAAGGTTACTGTCTTTAAACTGACATTCCAGATCGAATCCGAACATCAAACGAATCAAATGAAACGAAGCAGATCACGAGAATCACAGTTAAGCTACATACAAAACATTTATCCAAAGCAAAAGTCACTTCTCGTCATCGGTCTACTATATAAAACGTTTGCTCAACCTTCAACACTGCAAAATATGTATCCAAAGATTTAATAAATAGCTTTGTTTTGTTTTTTTACATACATGGTGAAACCTCTTTGGAGGTCCACTGTGGAAGAAAAGGTGGACATTGCTAGTATACCATTAACACCACCAGTAGGCTACTGGGTTAAGCGGGAAGATACTGGTTTGATGTTAATGGTACCGTCTGCTCAGTCTATCAAATTGCTTCATTATAATAATAAAAAAAAGAAAGAAAAGTAGAGCCCAGTCTCTTTAATGAGACCGAACCCTGTCATTGCACATATCTCGGAGTATAGTTTGGAAAACACAGTAATCCTTCAAGCCCCCCTGGGCCATTCTTCCGGACCGCCGGTTCAGTCCGCTGCCCCGTCACACTGTAAACCCTGGACAATGGAGTTAGGGAAAGGAGAATGTGTGGAGTGCTTGTCGCCAGATGGGAGAGAGAGCCTCTTCACAATGTCTTTGGATATACACATCAGAGAGGTTAGGAGTCTTTGGGTCCGTTCACGCCGACGAGGATTTCTCTGTGCTCTTGTCCAGTGCTTGGCCATCGTTTTCTTCTTCATTGACTGTTAATGAACAGAGACACAAGGGTTGATGATGAGAGACCAACTCACAGATCAGCTATTGTCTCACGCTATGCACTGGCACAAAGACGGAGATTCCATGTTGCCATGAATTTTAATACAACAGCAATGGCGCAATGTATCAGAATCCAAACACCGAAGCATAAAACAGAGCGTTTAAGCATTTGACACATGATCATGTCGTGAGTAAAGGCATAATCGTGAAGCGCAACATGGCATTTCGCATCATCTGTTTGTGTAATAAACAAAGGCTTTGTGCGTTACCTCTTTGGCTTCTCCCGATCTGCCCGAGCTTTGGTGGTCGTTTATTCTGGTTGCCACCGAAAAAGTTGTTGGTGTCTTGGAGGCGGCAGGTGAAGGAAAGGTGTTCCTCGTCCCCGTCGTTGCCATAATGAGTCATTTTGTCCTCGTTATACGGTAATACATCCGACATGCTGTATGAACTAACCGTGGCTACTTTATCTTCAGCTGAATCGATAGCGCGAGGTGAATTTTGTCGAGCGAATCTTTCTGCTGTTTACCTCTATGGCACGTGTCTCCGCGAGTGGTTGTCTGGGACGCGGGGCGAACGCATGTAATTTCCTTCTTTCAGCTCGCGCCCGCTTCAACTATTCCAAATTCCCCAATGTTGGAATGCGCCTTTGCGCGCTCGGGGCTTTTCGGCGGCTGGAGCGTCGTATGGAAAACCTGAGAAACAAATGCAAATTGGGAAGCGATGCAAAACAAAGATCCCTGATGGAGAATGAACGTCACTGAGGCGCGGGCTTCCTCTCCAGCTCTTTCATTGCAGCTATCGCCAATATTAATCTTGGGAAATTTCCAAGCTATTTGTCCATGGAACAAGATGCTTCCACTTGTCATTTGCAAATAAAGATATCCGAGAAGATCTTTTAATATTGATTTAATTAGTTTAAAGCACATTGGCAACGTATTAAACACATAACCCTTTCTTATGTTGATTTCATATATTTTGAGAAAACGTTTATATAATTCTTTACAAAATTGCTGCTGTAATGACTGTAAAACACGTCATTAGGTGTAGGTTAAGCTTAACATTCAAATAACTCTCACCTTAAATAAAAATAAACATTATAAAGGGTTCAAACATATGTTTCCTAAGTAAAATGTTTTCAAAATGTGTGATATATTAACCTTGACACATAAGCTTATGCTTGGTAACAAAATGGCATCATGGATGTTGGTTAAGCTATACTGACTTTAATATTTTTCCATTTTCAATAGTATAGAACAGATTGACGAAATTGCTCAAACAAAAACATAATATATCCTGGACAAAAAAATACTCCCTCAGAATAAAGTCAATAACCCCCTGTCTGTCTGTCTGTCTGTCTATTTATCTATCTGTCTGTCTGTCTGTCTGTCTGTCTGTCTGTCTGTCTGTCTGTCTGTCTGTCTGTCTGTCTGTCTGTCTGTCTGTCTGTCTGTCTGTCTATCTATCTATCTATCTATCTATCTATCTATCTATCTATCTATCTATCTATCTATCTATCTATCTATCTATCTATCTGTCTGTCTGTCCAGTCTGTCTGTCTATCTATCTTGTCTGTCTGTCTGTCTGTCTGTCTGTCTGTCTGTCTGTCTGTCTATCTATCTATCTATCTATCTATCTATCTATCTATCTATCTATCTATCTATCTATCTATCTATCTGTCTGTCTGTCTGTCTGTCTGTCTGTCTGTCTGTCTGTCTGTCTGTCTGTCTGTCTGTCTGTCTGTCTGTCTATCTATCTATCTATCTATCTGTCTGTCTGTCTGTCTGTCTGTCTGTCTGTCTAGTCTGCTCTTTAGCTTCAATGTGAAATTTTAAAACCTTTTAGTGAAACTTATCAGGAGTCAAAAAAATAACAAATCAGAGCTAGGCCTGAATCAAAGTGTTTAACACTTTTAATCTGCTACCAAAATGCCATCTACATTTTGTAAGACTTTTAGTTGTAGAAAGAGCCGAAATGTTCTGAGTCTGTTCTATACTTGGTGCTTTCATCCTTATTACATGCTTTTCAGTCAAAGCTTGAGCAAACACAGAATATGATATTAAAACATGCCTGCAAATCACAAGAGAAAGCAATATGGGATGCCCCCCCTCCCCCTCCCCCCCATCCTCCTCTGTGCATAGGTTTTCATTTTGTAATATCAGAAGCTGGAATTATGCTGAAGTCATACTGGCACAATCTGGATATGAGCTGAGGGGTTTTGTTCCTCTGTCCAAGATTTTGAGAGCATAATCTTCTGCACTGGGCATAGTCATAACCTGTCCAGGACTCAGCAGCAGACATTGTCACTCCACTGCAGAAATATCCATCCAGCAGCATAGAAGCGAGATGCACTGCTTCCTCCCATCTGTGAATGAGAGGCCATTTTGTTCTGTTCTGTCTGATCTGAATAGCTGAAATGGTGAAGTTGGTGCGTCGTCTTGGTTTGCTAAAAACCAGCCTATTTCTTTCCGGAGATGTCATTTGAACGCTAAGGCTTCAGACAGTTCAATATTGAGAGGAAAGATGCAGAAGACGGGCTTAGTTTGTGCTTTGAAATGATGTGTTGATGGACTACAGCTGTGATTCTCAACTGGGTGTGACTGGAATCGCAGTCTCTGATGCCAATATCAAAAGATACAGGCTGCATTTCATATTCCCTTTTAAAGTTGGTATGAATCGGAAGTTGTGCTAGTCTTTTCTTCACTATTGTGACGTATCCGAGTGAAACAGCTTCTGGATCAAGAACAAATGTAGGGCGGGGCTTGATTTTGTCCATCAGGAATTGATTGGATGGTTGTGGTTTGCTATTGGTGGATCTCATGTGAGTGACAGGTTGCCCCGCTCTCGTGCCAGTAAACACATCATCAGAGAAGAGATCCAGCTGCAAGAGGGAGGGGAAGTTATTTTGATTAAAGATTACGAGTGTACATGAATAAAATAAAATAAAGATGTTTACGCATAAATCATTTATAATAAATACTGCAATATACTAGCCTGGCTGCCAGCCCGAACTCCGCCCACAACAATTTTTGGTTGGGAAGTTCGGTCTGGACTCGATCCATTGAGGAGTAATTATGATCAGTCAAAAAATGTTCGGACCAATCAAATTGCCAGGGCGGGCTTTATACGATGATTGACAGATGAGGTGCAGTTACGTAATCCTCACGTCACCAAAGAGCGCTTGGGTTGAATTCGTTTACAACAAAGTTCTGCTGCTGGAGAATTGAGATTTCACGAGTTCACACTTACAAATAAGTCAGATAGAATAAATGCGTATATGACGTGCTGTCCGAGGAGAGGGCTCCGTGATCGGTATTCGGCCCGAACCCAGAGTAGGCCTACTCCCCCGTATTCCTGGCTGTGAAAGAACAAGCCAAGAGTGAGGAGTCGGGGTGGTGGAGGGATGCAGAAAAACTGTCGAGGAGTGTTAGGTGAGTTAGAGTGAATATGCTTCCTCTCATGCTGATAGGGTAACGTTAGACATGGTATTGTTTGATGACAAGTTGATTGGATTGATTATTTGAACGTGCTCCTCCCGAACTTTGTTTATGAAATAACAATAATCGTGTAGATTCCGCCATCACGTCTGTTATGGAAGATATCGACAGCGCATTGCTTTTAAAAGAGGAACAGAGAACCGCGATCAAGGCATTTGTCGGTCGGAAAAAGATGAATGAAGAACATGCGTCATTTACTCCGTTGCTCTGATTGGTTGTAGGTCTATCCAATTGAATGCAGAGGCATTTTCTTTCCTGGTTCGGTTGAAACACGCCCCATAATCACAGCCCTATGGAGCAGTATCAGACTCACATTCTTTCTAGAATATGAGTATGACGAAGTCAGGCTAGCAATATAGTATCTAACCTGGATGCCAGCCCGAACCCCGCCCATAACATTTTTTGGTCGGGAAGTTCGGTCTGGACTCGATCCATTGAGGAGTAATTATGATCGGTTCAGAAATCATCGGGCCAATCAAATTGCCAGGGCGGGCTTTATACGATGATGGACAGATGATCTGCAGTTGCGTAATCATCACGTTATCAAAGAGCGCTTGGGTTGAACTGGTTTCCCTCAGAGATGACTGCAGCTGGAGAACTGAGATGTAGAGATTACGCTATCGCGTCTGTTGTAAAAGAAATCGACAGCGCATTCATTTTAAAAGACGAACCGAGAACTGCAATCAAGGCATTTGTCGACCGGAAAGATGTGTTTGCCGTCCTTCCTACGGGATTCGGCAAAAGTTTAATTTATCAGCTGGCTCCGATGGTCGCTAAGAAGATCATGGGACGCAATGAAAGCCCTGTGGTCGCTGTGGTTTCTCCTTTGGTCGCACTCATGGAGGACCAAGTAAAAGAAGCAACACTCATTATTTTACTACTTCTTCCAGCGTGCGTGTAGTTCAGTTCTGTTGACAACTATGTGTAGCTCAACATACGTCACTTACTGCGTTGCTCTGATTGGTTGTAGGTCTATCCAATTGAGTGCAGGGTTTTTTTTTCCCCTGGTTCGGTTAAGACACGCCTCATAATCAAAGCCCTATGGAGCAGCATCAGACTCATTCTGACTAGAATATGAGTATGACGAAGTCAGGCTAGGAATATTCCATAACTATAAGTAACTTTGAAACTAGTCTCAGAGCATTAGTAGGGGTTAGGTTAGTAAAATAAGTTGACATGTAGTTGCAACGTTACTTAGTAAAATGTCTGTTGAGGAGTATCAAAAAGTGTTAGCAGATGTTAAGCAGACAGTCTACTAATAATCTAATGATTATAAGGAAAATAATTGGCATGGAGTTGCAAATAGTCAGCAGAATGTCTAAAGCGGACGCTTGGAATGAAGTGTTACCGATGTAAACCTCAATAACCAAAAAAACCCACAACATTGCAACCATACCCAACATATTTTATGGTATATTTCACATAATAAAATGAATACTGGTCAACTTATAAGAAAAAGTAATATACAGTAAGTATCACGTCAGTCACAAGTTCTGCACATGTTAAATATTTTAGTAAATGGAGCCTGGCATGCGAAATTACTCCTTGTTCTTTAATATTTGCTCATTTTTCTGTGGCATATTCATTCACAGTGCTTGCCCTGTGGGAACGTGCTGTTCTGCACTTTATTTCCCATGAAACACTTTCAGAGATTCATCAGATTATTCCGAGCATTAGCAGCCCCTCAAAAACCTCATTCTTCCCATATGACCGTATTGTTGGTCGCTTTAACCTTTACGCTCCATGTTACCTATTGTTTTTAATTATGTTATGAATGATGCCCCGGATACATAAAAGGTATTATTTTGAAACTGAGTATTCATACACACATAAAGTGCTGTGAATGATTGTGTGGTTCACATGGGGCCTGTCATGCAGTGATCATCTTACATGTGGTGTCGTGTGCAGGCAGTGAAACCAAAAGCTCCTGGAACTAATGCCACCTCCAGAGAAGAGTAATTGCGGACACACCCATTCCTATTAAATGTGCAAACATCCTTTGTTACATGTACAGTACAACGTCAAATCCTTTTATAGCTTCCCGTTCACATCATTTGAGCTTAACAAATGGCAATTTTTCTGCATTTAATATCCTTTGGTGAAATCTTTTCCCAAGCAAATAAGCATTTTAAAGGGGGACTAACTGATTTTAAAATGCACTGATAAGTCTAAGTTTTTTGCAATTATCCCAAATAATGATAGGAAAGGGATTCAAAATCACACTACCTCAGAGTTTGTAAGCATATTGTAGTTTCAAGAGGCCTTCACATTAGATTTAGATTAATTTGCTTCCATTTATTAGTACTTTTACAACTTCATACTACCATTTAAAAGTTTGGGGTTGGGATAAAAAAAAAAAAAAGTCTCTTATGCTCACTAAGGCACCATGTTTGATCAAAAACACAGTAAAACAGTAATATTGTAAAATATTATTACAATTTAAAATAACTCTTTTGCATTTCAATCTATTTAAAAATGTAATTTATTCCTGTGATGCAAAGCTGTATTTTCAGCATCATTACTCCAGTCTTCAGTGTCACATGATCCTTCGGAAATCACTCTAATATGATGATTTGCTGCTCAAGAAACATTTCTGATTATTATCAATGTTAAAACAGTTGTGCTGCTTCATATTCTTGCAGAAACCGTGACATTTTTTATTCAGGATAGTTCAAAAGAACAGCATTTATTTGAAATAGAAATCTTTTCATTATAAATTTAAATACATTTTATAAATAAACATTACAAATGTTACATTATAAATAAACATTATAAATGCCTTTACTGTCACTTTTGATGAATTTGAATGTTTCCTTGCTGATTAAAAGTATTTATTTTTGATCGGTAGAGTGTCCCAGAGAACGTTTGTTATTAAAAGTTAAGACTGCAATAAAACCTAGGGTAGTTTTACTACGCTTTCATGAATTTTTTCAATGCCTTTTATGCAATGATTTAGTTTACTCTTGTCCCAGCCCTACACTTTCAATATTAAAATATGTAAATCTATCATAAAAAATATGAATTATTATGGTTTAAACTATGACGATCTGAACAAACATGGAAAAAAAAGCTCTTTCAGCATTTTCATATTTTGCCCCAAATAAAGTAAGAAAAACCAAGATAATTAGCATTTATAAACTGTGTATTTCTATTGTTCGTCATTTCCATGCAAGCTGTTATTATGTCAAATTATGCAAAAACTATACAGGTATTGAGTATACATAAATGCTCAAATTAAGTTTCAGCTAGACCAAAGAGTTATTTTATTTGAAAAATTGTAAAATATATTTCCATCTGTAATTTCCACCACAGAATGCTGTTAAACACAATACATCATTTGAGATGTAGTCGAAATGTTCATGAAAACGAAAAAAAACAAAACAACATTGAACAAATTAAATAACCTAGTGAGAATGTGAAATGCATGTTTTAAGAGACTTTATTTTCAAAAAAGTCTTTAAGGATAAAGATGCCCATTAGTTAAAGAATATTGTTTTGCACGTTGCATGATTGGAAACACACAGAAGGTTAGTCTTCCCTGCTGAAAAGACCAACTGACTTAAGGCATCGATAGTATGGGCTGTATATGGTCTGGTCAATCCACCTGCGGAAGCGGGACACTGCCGTATACACCCCTGGAAACCTTGGATCTCCACAGCCATTTCCCCAAGAGACCAGGCCGTAGACCCGTCCATCACACACCAGCGGCCCTCCGGAGTCCCCCTGGAACATCAGAAGCCCAACATCCCTGTAAAGCCTTGAATGGTGGATAATGAAGGATGTGAGCTGGTCGTTCTCACAGTACCTTACACGCATCTTTTCCTCCGGCTCTGGAGCCCGCGCAGATCATGCTCGCCGTGATGTTTCCGCTGAAGGAGTCGCTGCTGTTGCACTTGAAGGTGGAGACGATGGGGAGCTTGACCGTACGCAGGGTGACGGGGTTTAGTCCTCCGCTGTGACTCGTGGAGCCCCATCCGGAGACCCGGCACATCCGGCCCGCCAGCAGCCCCGTGTTCTGTTTGGGGAGTGGGGCGAGCGACACAAACCTGTTCAGCTCTATAGGTGCGCTGAGCTGAAAGAACCAGCATCCAGAGACAGATATACAGATCAGGCTTCGTATGAAAGCATGCATCATCATCAAACTGTTATATCATTTATTACAAAGGATAAGGTAAGCTGCTTGCTAGTAATGTTAATTTTGAACTCATTAAACAAGAACTCGACATTAAAGGGTTACTTCACCCAAAAATTAAAATTACCCCATGATTTACTCGCCCTCAAGTCATCCTAGGTGTGTATGACGTTCTTATTTCAGATGAAAACAATCAGAGTTATATTAAAAAAGGTCCTGGCTCTTCCAAGCTTTATAATGGTAGTGAATGACTTTTCATTCATTTTATTCACTTTTCAAGTGTATCCATCCACGATAAAAATGGGGGGTTAATAAAAGCCTTCTGAAGCGAAGCGATGCGTTCGTGTAAGAAAAATATCCAACTTTAAAACTTTATCGACTAAAATAACTAGTTTCCGGCCTACGGCCGTACGCATCAATTTACGGCGAAAGAGCAACACTTGACCTCACGCACAATGGATCGAGCAAAAAAAACACCAGTCACGAAATAGAAAACTACCATTTTTAGAAAAAAACATTGGAGGAGCTCGAATTTGTTGCCCAGCCCGGTTTGTTTGAACCGCCAGAGGCGTCAAAGCTTACGCTACTCCTACTTCATACATGCATCAAGTGTTACTCTTTAGGCATAAGTCGACTTGCGTAAGGTCGTCTGCCGGAAGCTAGTTATTTTTGTCAATAAATTTTTTAATATGGATATTTTTCTTACGCGAACGCATGGCTTTGCTTCAGAAGGACTTTATTAACCCCCCGGAGCCGTGTGGAGCACTTTTATCACTGATGGATGCACTTTTATGGACTTCGAAATATAAACGGCCATTCACTGTCATTATAAAGCTTGGAAGAGCCAGGACATTTTTCAATATAACTCCGATTGTATTTAACTGAAAGAAGAATATCATATACACCTAGGATGACTTGAGGGCGAGTAAATCATGGGCTAATTTCCATTTTTGGGTGATCTAATAGCCTGGATGCCAGTCCGAAGCCCGCCCACAACATTTTTTGGTCGGGAAGTTCGGTCTGGACTCGATCCCTTGAGGAGGAATTATGATCGGTTCAGAAATCATCGGGCCAATCAAATTGCCAGGGCGGGCTTTATACGATGATGGACAGATGATCTGCAGTTGCGTAATCATCACGTTATCAAAGAGCGCTTGGGTTGAACTGGTTTCCCTCAGAGATGGCCGCCGCTGGAGAACTGAGATGTAGAGATTCCGCTATCGCGTCTGTTGTAAAAGAAATCGACAGCGCATTCATTTTAAAAGACGAACAGAAAACTGCAATCAAGGCATTTGCCGATCGGAAAGATGTGTTTGCCGTCCTTCCTACGGGATTCGTCAAAAGTTTAATTTATCAGCTGGCTCCGATGGTCGCTAAGAAGATCATGGGACGCAATGAAAACCCTGTGGTCGCTGTGGTTTCTCCTTTGGTCGCACTCATGGAGGACCAAGTAAAAGAAGCAACACTCATTATTTTACTACTTCTTCCAGCGTGCGTGTAGTTCAGTTCTGTTGACAACTATGCGTAGCTCAACATATGTCACTTACTGCGTTGCTCTGATTGGTTGTAGGTCTATCCAATTGAGTGCAGGGTTGTTTTTTTCCTGGTTCGGTTAAGACACGCCTCATAATCAAAGCCCTATGGAGCAGCATCCGACTCATTCTGACTAGAATATGAGTATGACGAAGTCAGGCTAGTGGACTAACCCTTTAAATGAAGTTCAGGAGGAGCACGTTCAGGTAATCCAGTCAGTGCGAGAAGAGACCTGTATAGCCGTCCCTTACCCCTGTCCCATGACAGTTTTGCAGTTTTCCCATGACAGTTTTCCTATCCTAGTCAAGGACGGGGGCAGTACTCTGGCTTCGGGCCAAATTTCCAAGCTCGGAGCCGTCCCCTCGGACAACACCCCAAATATGCATCCGTTATCATATCGAATCTGATTACATGTAAGTGTGAACTCGTGAAGTAACATTTTAGACATAATATTCCCAGTTGTTTATCTATTCTTGAATATATTGTTTATCTATGAATATCTTTCTAAAAAACGTTAAAGCAGAATATACAGCATTTGCGCTCAACACAGCAATAGCGGCATTAATGAATCTGTTATTTTGAACAAATCGATTAAAGTCCCCCTGTGGTGGAAAACAAGTTTTTAATGTTGTTTATATGTCTATGTGGTGTTTTTAATATGCTTTTAGACACACCATGTGTAAGTTTATAAGTCGACAGCATTGCTGAGTATTTTCTCCTTAAAACTGCAGTGAGCCAAAGACAGTCTCAAAAACACGGTTTGAAATCGCTGGTGTTTCTGACGTCACAAACGACCTTGTAACCAATCAGATCAACGTGTGATCGTCAACCAGTGGATCTCTGAGCTGAGTGAGTGAGTGGAGGCGGGGCTCATTTGCATATTCATAGAACCGCGTATACTAAACGAGGCAAGGGTGTCGAGTTACATTCAAGCTATTTTAAGTAACTTTTTTTTCAAGGAAAAAACGTTTAAATATGTAATTTTGGTGATCAAAGATGAGTTTTAAGGGATACAATTATAGACTACAGGGGGACTTTAAATGAATGATTCAATGACCTTAAAGTTTTATAAAATCACAATGGAATCAAAATTGATTTTTATTTTTTCAATGGAATATATCAATGATTAATCCGTGCACATCATTGGTTTTTTTATTCATGTGCCTTGTAACCTCCCCTCCCTCTTGCAATGACATCTCTTCTCTTCTCTAATGTGTTTACTGGTGTGAGGGCGGGGCAACCTGTCACTCACATGAGATTGGCCAATAGCAAACCACAACCATCCATTAATTTCCCATGGGCAAAATCAAGTCCCGCCCTACATTTGTTCTTGTTCGAGAAGCTGTTTCAATCAGATATAAGTCACAATAGGGAAGACTAGCACAACTAGCACAAAAGACAAGCACAACTTCTGTTTCATGTCAATTTTTAAGACATTGTATTCTCTCTGAGAAGTTACTTTTGATGACTAAGTACTACACGATCGTTAAAAAAGTATGTTCTATAGTATGAATGAGATCGGGATGTATTGCATTCTTCATGTTGTCATTGTTATGTGACCTCACAGCATCAGTTGTGTCACGTCACTGCCATTCTAATCGCATACTTCTCAACTAAAAGTAAGTGAAAATCAATATGTGAAAAAAGAAGTAGGTATGAATTCACAGTGTTCATAAAATGCTAATAGATCACATGACAGTTGTAGTACGTCCGGATCTCATTCATAGTATAAACACACTGTTTTTAATGGTCACATTTAGTTATTTTAAATAAGCACTCAGAGAGTCTGCAATTTCACACTTAACCTCAGTCGATGACTCAGCGACGCCACTTATGGCCTCCTTAGACAGTGTGACTGGAACATGCAAACACAGAAAGGACTGAAACAAACTGTTCCAGCACTGTTGGACTCAAATGAGCACTTGTGGAAAGCCACCTAACCACATTCAAGGACCAGAACTAACTGTTGAATAATTGACATGGTGTTGTTGAATACTTGATTCTGACTGATTGACCAACAGGTTCAAAAAGGACTGATTGAGTAAGGGATGATGGAAATTAATAACGCCAGTCGGTAAAATTAATTCTGACAGGGTGATTGGGACCTCAAGATTTTTTAAACATTTCAATGTGTTTATTTATTTTTCCCTTTTCTCTATGTAGTTTCTTTATGGTCTGACTATGTTAGACTGTCTCTATTTAAAATAAAAATATATATACAAGCATATAAATAATATATAGAATTGCCATAATTGACCAATCAGATTCAAGTCGTCACCTTCATTTATATAGTTCTTTATATATAGTGTTTCAAAGCAGCTTCACAGTAATAAACAAGAAAATAACCAAATTAATATTGTAAACATCATCAAATATGAGACAAATTCAAATTCTGCTGTAAAGCTGCTCTTCTAGACAATAGTGTCATTATTCAGCTCAAGTCAGTTCAGTGTTGATTCAGTTCATCAATTCTGAAATGAGTTCAATTCAGCTACAAGCAGGTCTACAACAGATAATAGTGTCGTTATTCACCCCTAGTCAGTATGATTTCATTCAATCCAGTTCGACAACAGTGTCGATGTTGCAAAAATTGTCCATTACAAAGCAAATTTGAGTGAGTTCAAGTTTTGTTCTCATTTGACAGTGTCAAGTAACTCTACTCTCTTATAGTTATACACTCACTCACTTAAAGGGATACTTCAGGATTTAGCATTAATCTTTGTATTAGTAGAAGACTTGTAGTAATTTGAAATTACCGTGCTTTCCACCCTCATATCCCCCTGAGACGAGAGATTTATGTATTTTTTGTCTGGAGAAAATCCTCCGATGACCCAAAAATCGTCATTTTGCGTTATCGGAGGATTTTTTGGCCATGCAGAGGCTAAAGACTACAGCCAGTAGTAGGAGCTGTCCCGCATGTTCTCAACCCGCCCATAGAGGCTGGGATCTCACTCACAGAATGTACACATAGTGTCAGACATCTCTTTTTGGAAGCTAAGCTAGCAGGCTCTTGTTCTGTGGAGAAAGCTGAGTAACTTAGTAGGAGAAAGCTGAGTAGTAGTAGGGGTTACCATCCTCTTTTTCCCAGACATGTCCGGCCGTCGATGTCCGGGATTCAGCTTTTGCTTTCTGCAGTCGCCATTCATTGTTGACATGCACACCTTTTGTTTCAATCTAACTGAATTCATTCCGATTGGTGAATCTGAATGTAGTGTTTACATGAACGCTAAACAAGTGATCGGTTGATGTGCGTTTTAACATTGCTAAGAAAATTCCCGCTCCTCCGTGAGAGATACGAGACCGGTGCGTCTCAGAGGTGTCGCTCATCGGTAATCACGCCACCGGCCTCGCGCCGTTCTCCCGCGGCCTCACTCGTCCTGCTCGCCACAGTAAACATGACTCGCGCCGTTCTCCCGCGGCCCTCACTCGTCCTGCTCGCCACAGTAAACATGACTCGCGCCGTTCTCCCGCGGCCCTCACTCGTCCTGCTCGCCACAGTAAACATGACTCGCGCCGTTCTCCCGCGGCCCTCACTCGTCCTGCTCGCCACAGTAAACATGACTCGCGCCGTTCTCCCGCGGCCCTCACTCGTCCTGCTCGCCACAGTAAACATGACTCGTGTCGTTCTCCCGCGGCCCTCACTCGTCCTGCTCGCCACAGTAAACATGACTCGTGTCGTTCTCCCGCGGCCCTCACTCGTCCTGCTCGCCACAGTAAACATGACTCGCGCCGTTCTCCCGCGGCCCTCACTCGTCCTGCTCGCCACAGTAAACATGACTCGTGTCGTTCTCCCGCGGCCCTCACTCGTCCTGCTCGCCACAGTAAACATGACTCGCGCCGTTCTCCCGCGGCCCTCACTCGTCCTGCTCGCCACAGTAAACATGACTCGCGCCGTTCTCCCGCGGCCTCACTCGTCCTGCTCGCCACAGTAAACATGACTCGCGCCGTTCTCCCGCGGCCCTCACTCGTCCTGCTCGCCACAGTAAACATGACTCGTGTCGTTCTCCCGCGCCCTCACTCGTCCTGCTCGCCACAGTAAACATGACTCGTGTCGTTCTCCCGCGGCCCTCACTCGTCCTGCTCGCCACAGTAAACATGACTCGTGTCGTTCTCCCGCGGCCCTCACTCGTCCTGCTCGCCACAGTAAACATGACTCGTGTCGTTCTCCCGCGGCCCTCACTCGTCCTGCTCGCCACAGTAAACATGACTCGTGTCGTTCTCCCGCGGCCCTAGCCTCGTCCTGCTCGCCACAGTAAACATGACTCGTGTCGTTCTCCCGCGGCCCTCACTCGTCCTGCTCGCCACAGTAAACATGACTCGTGTCGTTCTCCCGCGGCCCTCACTCGTCCTGCTCGCCACAGTAAACATGACTCGTGTCGTTCTCCCGCGGCCCTCACTCGTCCTGCTCGCCACAGTAAACATGACTCGTGTCGTTCTCCCGCGGCCCTAGCCTCGTCCTGCTCGCCACAGTAAACATGACTCGTGTCGTTCTCCCGCGGCCCTAGCCTCGTCCTGCTCGCCACAGTAAACATGATTAATGGCGACTGTAGAACGCAAAAGCCGAATCCCGGACATTTTGGGCGATCTCGAAACACATTTTCGGGCAGACTCATCACGGAGACTCACTAGTAGCCTAGACTTGTTGTTTAACTACTGCGCTCTGTTACCGGTAGGCGTGGCCTCCTAGGGCAGCGAAGCAAGTGCATTCTGGGAGTTGTTGTCTTTCATCCACTTAAGCCAAAAATACATTTTCTGGCTTTTCTCAGTCTAGAAAGCTCCAAATTCAAAAATAATTTCACATTTCTTCTACATAAATGACCCATTTTAAATACACATTCATCTTTCCAGAGGTGAAGTATCCCTTTAAGAGTGATATATTCAATACAGAGCCAAACAGCATGTACCTTTATGAGCATAATATCTGCATTATTGGTGCTCCTGTTGTACAGAGGGTGCGGGATGAGCGACAGAGGCTTGGAGTACTGCTCTGTCCCCTCATAGACACCCAGAGTATAGTCTCCAGCCACCAGCATCATCCGATCCATCCTTAAAGACAAGCACAAATACACCCTCTGAATGAGATTCTAACTACAAAACAATGTAAATACTGTATATGGAAAGAGCTTTCCAGATACCAGACATATGCTTGGTATCTGATTTCTTGATACTCTTTGTAGAGGACATGAGTTGAATGACAATATTTGTCCCTGTTAGCAGGCTCAGCCATGCCAAGCGGCAGATAAGCCAGCATTCATTAAGTACCACACGGTGATGATGATGGGTCAAGGTTACCGCATGTCTGCTTTACTCTGCCTTTCGACTCACACACGGACTTGGCCATCAGCTCTGCTGCTACACACCCTGTAAGTCTCATAAACAGCCTGTTCAGGCAGAGAATCTGTTTAAAGAAAAGGTGAAAAATCACACACCCAATATTGCAATGGGCAGCTGTAAGCACCCAGTACTTATGGACCAGAGATCCGCCACAGAAGTGCTGCCCTTTCGAGCTCTGTAACGACACTATGTATTTGATTGAATTTGGCGAGGGGGTATATCCGCCAACAATGCGCCCCTGAACAAAGTCCAGACCTGGAAAACAATACAACAAAGATTTCAAATAGCTCAGAACTCAAGGTGACAGTGAAAGGGCAATGAAATAAAACTCTAATCTCATTTACATTGAGTTCAAATTGACAGCTGACAAAATAAAGCTTGACACCCTGAGTATCCCTGTTAAATAAAGGTTCTTTCCAAGAAAGGATATAAGGCTTGATATTCTATAAAGCCGAAAAGGATATACTGCCTGATATTCTATTGATTATTGATATGTCATCTAATGTTGGTTTGTGATAGCCTATCTGATTGATTCATACAGTCAGTATTTGATAAGTTGCATGATCAATGCATATCAAATGGGTAATTTCATTGAGAAATAAGAATGATAAAAATAAAAATAAAGGATTTTGAAAATCTTTATACCGTTTTCAAAAAAAGGTTAAATGTAATGACTCTAGATGTCATGTGGTGTAACTATTAAGTACAAACCATTTTCTTAAACACGTGAGTGGATAATAATGTAATCATTTAGAGACGTATTTAGATATGTCTCTTAAAATATAAGACGTTTGACTTTTATGTTTAAAAATGTAAAATTGATATTGACCTTGCCACTCATATAAATTCGTTTTTTGAAAGAAGTCTCTTATGATCACCAAGGCTGCATTTATTTGATAAAAAAATATAGTAAAAACAGTAATATTGTGAAAATATTTTCTATTTTTATACATTTTAAAAAGTAATTTATTCCTTTGATGCAAAGCTGAATTTTCAGCATCATTACTCCAGTCTTCAGTGATCCTCCACTATTACAAAAGTATGTAAAATATTAATAAGCAGTGAAGCAGTTTTTTAAGAAATATTTTTAAAAAGATGATTCCAAACTACTTTTTTTTTCTTCAAAAATGACATGATTTAGTGAGGCCCTTTTTGTTGTGATATTTAGACAGGTTTATAATCCTGCTTTTTTTTTTTTACTCAATGCCACTGTATAAAACTGAAATTTAATTCAGAAAGCATATAAACATACTTATCATATCAAAGGTGTATTCGATTCTAAACAAACACTAACATGTTATCATGTTATTGACCCAAATACTGAGTAAAAGTTAAGCTTAAATACTGGAAGAGTCGTTTTATTGCCTTGTTAGAAAGCTAAATCTGCAGGCAAAAAGAAGGTCAGCTCCTGATAGTGTTCAGTACTTACAGTTGGCTGGGACGAATTTCAACAGCACCAGAAAGAGCAGCATGGCCACGGATAATGTGAGCACGTGAAGCAGTACTGACTGTCGGCTACACTATATCTACCAAACCCCTCCACATAGAGTGAGGAAATCACATCAACACTGTTCCTCAGGTTTCTCAAGTTCTGATTTCAGTTTTCATGCGGAACTATGAATCAAACATTGTTTGATTCAAGGAAACAGGTTGGGCTTTCAGCAGCGATGCCCTCTCTGACCTTCTCATAACACATAATGTGTACTCAGTGGACCGCTTGAGAGTAATGGACATGTGATAATTAGTCAGACCCTTGTTAAAAATGCTAATGTCTTGCTAATGTCATTTCTATTATAATATAAAACCAATCCTATAGGTCTCAAATACGAACTTCTAAAGGCCTGGATAATTATAAAGATAACTATAATAATATAAGCATCCACACCAAAAGGAAAATAACATTCTCTTATAATTTGTCATCTGCTGTTTTAAATCCTTGCACTCTTAAAGTCTCAGTGCTTTCAAGTCCTCCTGGGAAGTTTGTATTTGCGAGTTGGGAAGTGTTTAAGGGTGTATTCACACCAGGAAAGTCCGATAGTTCACTTGCTTTGGTCCGGACCAAATAAGTTGTGTTGTTTTTTTGTTTTTTGGTACGGTTCGCTTTCACACTGCTCTTTTTGCAAGTGAACCAAAATTTGTAAACAAAACCACACGTGTGCTAAGGTCGTCCATTCATTGGACAAGGATTCTCAAGTAGGGAAATCAGGAAGTACAAAAAAGGCTTAACGTAAATTAACGCAGCATCATCCTTGTAATGTAACTATCGTTACATTATATGAACTGCAAATGTTTTTTTTTTGCATCTATGCGCGATTAGACTAAAGAGAACGCTCTGTATGTGAATGTCCTGATGCACACACTCATTAATTCATTCCATTCCAATGATGCACACACACGACGCGCAGAAAGACGCGCAACAGATGTAATGTAGTAGGCTAGGCTACTTACCCATAACGCAACTCCGACTACGGAAGCCTGTTAACTCAAACTCGCAGTGCTTTCTTGCAATTGGGTCGGTTCATGTTCACACCGTAAACGAACCGTACCAGAGTTCGTTTGGAACCGTACCGAGACCACCTCTTCAGCTCGGTCTGGGTTCGGTTGTTTGGTCCGCGCCCGAGTTCAATTGCTGTATTCACACCTGCCCAAAAGGTCCGCACCAAGGGGGGAAAGGAACTAGAGTTCGATTCAATCGAACCAAACAAGGCAGGTGTGAATACACCCCAAGTCTCTTTGGTTGGAGCAAGGTAGTACAGAGCCCCTAAAGGGACCATTGCAAAAGTAAAAAAAATACAGCGTGTGTCACAGTTGACTGAGGGGCTGTTTACACAACACCATTTTCAACTAAAAACATAAAACTTTTTATGCGTTTTGACCATTTGTTTACACGACAACAGCGTTTTGGGTGCCCGAAAATGGGTTTCAAAGTTCAAGTTTTTGAAAACGGTCTCCGTGTAAACAACAAAAACGTGAATCTCTGAAGACGATGACGTCATTTTACGTGTTCAGTTTGTTTCATCGCCATCTAATGGCCTGGTAGCAGATTAAAGGGTTTTTTGTCGTTTTCGTGGATCAGTGTGAATGGGGATCATTTTGGCAATGCCTGTACGCAGAAAACTCAAAAGAAAAACTTTTTCGTTTTAAGCATATAATTGTCGTGTAAACGTACCCTAAACACTGATAAACTAAAGATAACCCTGACTATAGGTCTCAAATAACCCAAGAAGTCAACTTTGCGCTTTATGAACAAACATCATTTACAGAGGAGGGAGGGAGGGAGGGGGCTTAGGTGGGGGATGCAGAGCTGGCACAAAGGAAGACCACAGGATCCAGGGCAGAGAAGATAACAGGAGGAGCCAGGGATGAGACGACGGCGAGAGAAGCCAGGGAAGAGTCCACGGTAGGAGGAGCCAGGGCAGAACCCACAGTAGGAATCCCGGGACAAATGTCCTAGGTGGAGTCGAGGGAGGGAGGAGCCATGGTGGAGACTTGGCAGGCCGGACCAGGGGGAAGACCGACTGAGATGAGGCTGATGGCGACGGAGACACTGATGGATGGTGGATGGCGACTGATGGAGATACGCGAAGAGCCGACAAGTCCTGGTGACATGGAAGGTCCAGGAGACCGAAGGCAGAGCCATGGGGACGGACAGTCGAGGTGAAGCTAGTGTGCCAGAGGACTGAGGTGAAGCCGGAGGGAAGGAGGAGCCCGACGGAGACAAAGGGGAGGAGGGACGAGTCAACGATGAAGGCCCTTAAGTCCTTGGTGATGGCAGAGCGACGACTGACCAAAGCAGAGCCATAGGGGCGATCGTCACCGGTAGAGCCAAGGGGGCGAGGAGTCATGCTGAAGTCGACAGGTCGATGGGCCGAGATTGAGTGACAGGCTTTGAGGTTCTTGGGGGAGCAAACGGGTCAATAGTCCAGGGTCGAGTGGGCGAACTATCAGACCAAGGCGGATCCACAAAGCACAGAACAGGCATCATAGGAGGAGACGAAGGGATGATGAGAGGCAGTGAGGACAGGGGGGTAATAAAAGACCTTTCTGGCCGAGACAGGACAGGCAGGCTTCATGGCCTGTCCATCCCATAACCCTAAGCTGATTTGTTTGTTCGACTCGGAACAAGCTGAATTCTCAGGAACGGCTCTCTAGCCCAACTCAGAACAGGCAGAGGAGGTGGGAGTGGGAGGCAAGGTGGGAACATCAAAGAAATCAATAACAGTGCTGGGCGATGGAACAGGCATTGTGCTCTCTTCATACTCCTCAAACAATATTAGGGGTCCTGCGTTCAATGCATTTACATCCGGCGTAGTCAAAGGGACAGGGCTCCACTCCATCCCGTCGTATTCCACCAATATATCCACAAGCATGGAGACTGTTGCTGGCTCACGCACCTGGTCAGACTTTTTGTCAGGCTCGAGCTCCGGGATGATCTTCAGCTCAGGCATTACCTCTAGCGCTGGCATCGTGGTGTGCTCAGGCTCCCTGTCTGCGGTGGGCTCGGGCTTAACATCCGCTGGGCTGGTGGCTGCGGAGGCAGCAGGTGCATAACTGCTGCAAATGGTGCACGTAACTATTTTCAGCAGTTATGGTTTATTCTAGGGCTGTCAGTTAAACGCGTTATTATCGGCGTTAACGCAAACCCATTTTAACGCAATTAATTTTTTATCGCAAGATTAACGGTCTTTTTAACCTAGCAAACTTTGTAGTTTTTTTCACATGCTTTTGCAACACGACGCGGCATGCGTGGCGCTGCGCTATGAAACCCATTAATTTCAATGGCTTGCGCCACGCGAGGACGTTTTGTTGCTTCGTCGACCAAAGCGCAAGAGCAGCAGCACGCACACCCAGGTCAAAATTCAAAATAGTTCAACTTTTGCCACTGTGACGATTACCAGCGTGGCCAATAGAAACTTTTTGGCATCCAAAAAGTTTTGAAAACTGGCGTAGCGCCGCGCATTCCGCGTCCTGTCTGAAAGCACCGGATCTAGCTAGACCGGAAACACACTTGTTGCGAGCCGGCCAAATAGTTGGTTAACGTTACGTTTTGAGTGGATGACGAGCGCGAGACGCCGAAATGGATGCCAATAAGATTCTGAATTGAAAGTTTACTTTTAAAAAGTTGACAAATGATTTTTTTTTTGTCGTTGTGAACTGAGTTATCATCGCAGGCGCAGCACGTCCAGTCTGAAATACCACTTGATGATGGCCAAGCACACACACACACACACACACACACGCACACACACACACACACACACACACACACAGCTGATGCGAATTCTCCGCCCCTCGTCAATATCAGGACCTCGTCAGTATTTCTTTCACCCTTTCATGGATGGACAGTGTTACATTGTGTGAGAGATTATTTGCTCCAAGTGAGAATGTTTTAGTGTGAAATTGAACACAGTATATGCCAATGTTGTTTTCAATAAAAAAACATTTGCACAAAGCAAGCCGATCCACTTTTCCATGTTGATAAGAGCATTAAAATTAGAAAAAATAATGGAACAAAAAGAAATCAAGAGAAATTTAGAATAGATAAAAATGTGCGATTAATTGCGATTAATCGCGAGTTAACTATGACATTAATGCGATTAATCGCGATTAAATATTTTAATCGTTTGACAGCACTAGTTTATTCACAAACTTAACATAAAACAAAGGTTTTCAGGATGCTGGACTTCCAAAAACAAGAACAGAATAACCAACTAAAAATGCAACGAAAACAGAACAAAGACTGACAGAAAAGAAGCTCAAAACTACAACTTCAAAAGACTTAATTATTAACTTATATATCAGTACAATTATATAGTTCAAAGGTGCAATCACATTTATTATTGTTGTTCTGCAAGTTTTCTGTAAAAACCCAGTCATTTCAATAAAAATCCACGCAAACAGGAGTTTTGCATGAAGGCGAAAGATTTACCCTGGCAGATTTTGCAAAGGGTTCACATTTACCTAAAGCTGCTCTTCACACATCGCTATACTATATTGACAATAGACAATGGACCTTTTTTGCCTTCAAAATGTTGCTAATGTGACCACACCTTAAATGTAAACCTCCTTGTCCTCTCTTCCAGCAACTCCATAACATGTTGTCCATCCGATTTTAATTAGGATGCAGTGCACACATTTGCCAACCCTGCGTCCCTCACAAAAGCATTTTGTTTCAGAAATACACACCATGCTTTTGTAACTACCCATCTCAATGGAAAGAGAATAACAATAACATGTTCTGGCTGAGCATAATATGAGTTACACACAATAAAAGCGAATGTAGCACCAATAATAAGAATTTCATATTTGGTATCTCGTTTGATTTTTAAACAATGTGAGGAGAGAAATCAACATTTATTTTTCTAATCAAATCCCATGAGGCACTATCAGTAAACATGTTCATTACATCCAAGGAGGGACTTCAGATGAATGGCAAACTCATTCTTCTAGGTGGAGCTTCTCCCTTGAGGATACAGATGTGCATTTAGTCAAGGGATATTGGAAAGACTTTGTCGCAGATGCTTTGTTTACCACAACCCTATTGCCATTTTCACCCAATTTTGCCGTCACCTGATATTCTATTCTTTGACAAACCATTTTGTCAAATGAGAGGGTCTATAGATATTTGATTTCCCCTTAGAGAGCAGCACAATGCGTTTGAATCAAAGGCAAGGTCTTAGACACGATAGCATCAAACAAAAGGAGGCGATCATAGATACAGAGCTTTTGGGTCCTACGTGTTATCGTTTTTGTTCTAGAGAATAGTTAGAGTACAAATAAGACCATAAAACCAAAGGGACAGATGTGATTACACTATAAAAGCAAAGATAATATTCACATTAGGTAGTGCGGAAGGTAACATTTACCAAGTTAGTGGGATTTAGCTGTTCAGGATTGAGTTTTCGATGCTCAGGGTGAGTTTTTATGTCCATTTCTGTTTTAGCTAGGAAATGTCATAAATATCACACATATAACGTAATATATTATATACTATACCATTCAAAAGTTTGGGGTTGGTATGAATAATAATAAATACAAATGCATAAGAAATCTCCATTGCTCACCAAGGCTGCATTTATTTAGTTAAAATACAGTAAAAACAGTAATAATAATGAAATATTACAATTTAAAATAACTGTTTTCAATTTTAATATCTTTTCAATTGTAATTTATTTCTGTCAATTTTCAGCATCATTACTCCAGTCTTCAGTGTCACGTGATCCTTCAGAAATCATTTTAATATGACGATTTGCTGCTAAAGAAACATTTATTATTATTATTATTATTAATGTTAAAACAGTTGTGCTGCCTCATATTTTTGTGGAAACCGTTTTGTTTGGGATTCTTTGATGAATGGAAAGAATGGCATTTATTTGAAACAGAAATCTTTTGTAACATTATAAATGTCTATACAAATTTAATGCATCTTTGCTTAATAAAAGAAGTGTACATCACACATGATGCCATATTAATGGTTCTAGACATTTTAAAATGATGATTGATAGATGACAATGTTTACTCTTTGATTTTTATTAAAATAGTTATTAAAAAAGTTTAGTTAAACCAGCTAAACAACATTTGGCCCAGGCTGAGGGACCAGCTAAACCAGTTGAAACCAGCTGAACTATAAACCTTTTACTTTTAACTTTTTTTCCAGTGAGTAACCTGTTGTTTGACATATGCTTTAACAGTAATTCAATATTTGATGTATTATGTAAAACGTGATGCTGTTTTCCCATTCAACAGCTGCATTGTGCTCCATTTGTTTTCCGACCTCTAAACACCCTCTGTTTTAGACCCCTCAAACATGAAGAAATGCCTTGAATACCCCTTGCTCCTCATCACCTTGACGCTTCACGGTAATGCACTGCATTTCCTGAGCAACTCACAGCGGTCTCGTCTAATGCATGTGTAACAGGATGTTGCTTTCTGTGCATACATTATTGAAACACGTTGGTGAGCACAGGCCACTGGCATTTAGTGTTTATCTAGCACATATGAGGTCTCACTTTATCATTATTCTCCTCATTCACAGGCTCACTGCAGCAGAGAATAATTGGAGGACAGGAGGTTGAGCCCTATTCCATAAAGTACCAGGCCTCTGTTCAGTACAACAACTATCATTACTGCGGAGGAACACTCATACACCCGCAGTGGGTGGTCACTGCTGCCCACTGCTGGAGACCGTGAGTATTGCGATCACAATTCACCTTGACAAGGAACTAAACACACTAAACATGCTACAGTATATCTACAACTCATCACACTAACTTTACTGATGTAATATTGTTGGGTTCTGCTGTCTGATCTGTTCGCAGGAGCTATTTAATCAAAGTGGTTTTGAGTGAACATGACCTCTCCAAAAAAGAGGGCTTGGAGCAGATGTTCAATGTGTCCAGAGTTCTGGTGTATTACATGTACAATTACAGGACATTTGATAGTGACATTATGCTCTTGAAAGTAAGTTCATTAAGCATCACATAAAAAAATATATAGCATCTATGTTAATAGGTCTGTTTGTTTATCCTAGTCATTGGTTTGGGTTGTTATAAATGGGTTGATTTACACTCACCTAAAGGATTATTAGGAACACCTGTTTACTTTCTCATTAATGCAATTATCTAATCAACCAATCACATGGCAGTTGCTTCAATGCATTTAGGGGTGTGGTCCTGGTCAAGACAATCTCCTGAACTCCAAACTGAACGTCAGAATGGGAAAGAAAGGTGATTTAAGCAATTTTGAGCGAGGCATGGTTGTTGGTGCCAGACGGGCCGGTCTGAGTATTTCACTATCTGCTCAGTTACTGGGATTTTCACGCACAACCATTTCTAGGGTTTACAAAGAAGGGTGTGAAAAGGGAAAAACATCCAGTATGTGGCAGTCCTGTGGGCGAAAATGCCTTGTTGATGCTAGAGGTCAGAGGAGAATGGGCCGACTGATTCAAGCTGATAGAAGAGCAACTTTGACTGAAATAACCACTCGTTACAACCGAGGTATGCAGCAAAGCATTTGTGAAGCCACAACACGCACAACCTTGAGGCGGATGGGCTACAACAGCAGAAGACCCCACCGGGTACCACTCATCTCCACTACAAATAGGAAAAAGAGGCTACAATTTGCAAGAGCTCACCAAAATTGGACAGTTGAAGACTGGAAAAATGTTGCCTGGTCTGATGAGTCTCGATTTCTGTTGAGACATTCAGATGGTAGAGTCAGAATTTGGCCTAAACAGAATGAGAACATGGATCCATAATGCCTTGTTACCACTGTGCAGGCTGGTGGTGGTGGTGTAATGGTGTGGGGGATGTTTTCTTGGCACACTTTAGGCCCCTTAGTGCCAATTGGGCATCGTTTAAATGCCACGGCCTACCTGAGCATTGTTTCTGACCATGTCCATCCCTTTATGGCCACCATGTACCCATCCTCTGATGGCTACTTCCACCATGTCACAAAGCTCTAATCATTTCAAATTGGTTTCTTGAACATGACAATGAGTTCACTGTACTAAAATGGCCCCCACAGTCACCAGATCTCAACCCAATAGAGCATCTTTGGGATGTGGTGGAACGGGAGCTTCGTGCCCTGGATGTGCATCCCACAAATCTCCATCAACTGCAAGATGCTATCCTATCAATATGGGCCAACATTTCTAAAGAATGCTTTTAGCACCTTGTTGAATCAATGCCACGTAGCATTAAGGCAGTTCTGAAGGCGAAAGGGGGTCAAACACAGTATTAGTATGGTGTTCCTAATAATCCTTTAGGTGAGTGCATATATATACAGTTGTAATCGAAATTATTCAACCACCATTGCAAATCAGGTTTATTGGCAAAATTAACAGACTTGCAGCTCTTTGGAATGAACAAATCAAACAAAAGTAATTGAAATAGCTCAACACAACAAATGTTTTAAGTGGTTTCCCAAAATTCAACGGAAAATCCAACTTTTAATGACTTCTGCAGTCTCGAAATGATTCAAGCCCTTCATGGCAAGTATCTTTAGTACTTAGTAGTACACCTTTTGCTGTCATGACCTGCTACAAACGAGATGTATTACTTGACACCAGCTGGCAGCATTTCTGAGGAATCTTCATGAGCAATGGCCTCTAGTTCAGTAATATTCTTGGGTTTGCGCGCTGCAACCACCTTCTTCAAATCCTACCAGAGATTTGCTATGGGGTTCAAGTCAGGTGACTGTGATGGCCACTGTAGGATCTTCCAGGACTTCTTCTGCAACCAAGCCTTGATGGAATTTTAGGTATTCTTGGGATCATTGTTGGAAGGTCTAATGACGCCCAAGCTTCAGCTTCCTCACTGACAGGCATGACGTTTTCTCCTAGGATTTCCTGATACTTCAATGATTCCATCTTTCCTTCCACACGCTGCAGGTTTCCAGTGCCAGAGGATGCAAAGCAGCCGCAGAGCATCACCGAGGTCCACCATGCTTAACTGTAGACAGAGTGTTCATTTCAGCATATGCTTCATTCTTCTTCCTCCAGACATACCGCTGATCAATACAGAGGAAATTTCAAGTTTTGTTTCATCGCTCCACAGAACAGATTTCCAAAACTTCTGTGGCTTATTTATATGATTTTGAGCACTTTTCTTGTTCTTCTGGGTCAGTAGTGGTGTACGTCTTGGACAGCTGGCATGCGTTTAGTACGCACCTTACTGTGCAAACTGAAACCTCAGTGCCTGTTGCCACCAAGTCTTGCTGCAGGTCTTTTGGAGTCACTCAAGGGTTTTTCTGAACCTGCCTTCTCAGAAATCTGGTTGCAGTCATTGATAGCTTCCTTTTTCTGCCCCATCCAGGTAGTGTAACCACAGTTCCTTTAACTTTGAACTTGCGAACTATATGCTTCCAACGTTGTGTCTAGGAACATTTAGTGCCTTCACTATCTTTTTGTATCCTGTTCCTTGTTTGTGAAGGACGATGATATCTTCTCTTAACCTTTTGGACCATTAATTTGACTTAGCCAAATTTCTAACATACAGTCAAACGAGCCCTTGATCACTTGGAATCAGCTATGGAGTTGATTTATTATTTGATTTTTTTTTTCCTTTAAGAATTTGTTTAATGAAGCATCCAAATGTATATAGGTGTGTTTATGTTGTTTAAAAAAAGAAAAAAAAGAATTAATGTATCATAGAGTTGTTTGTGGTGCTGGTGTTTAGATGAGATCTGCGGTGACGTCATAATCGTGTTGCATTGTGGTATATGGAGCTGCCTGAAGTGTACATGTGAAGTAGACTCGCTCCCTCGGTCAAAATCGAGGGAGCGAGGGTCTGTCCATATAAACTTCCCTTGTCCACTTCGCGAAGTAAAACGCACTTCAAAATGGCGGCAGGGATTCCCCCGAGGGGAAGTGCTTAGGGAAATTCGCAAGTGCATATCTAAAAGTGGACTGGAACGCAGCCCAGCTATTTCATGTGTTCTAGCTTAAGCACACCTGGTGCAACTAATGAAGCCCTTGATTAGTTGCATCAGGTGTGCTTGAGACAACACCTGTTTTGCAGATTTGTGCTGTTGTGAGGGATTCTATTCAGGGGGTTGAATAATTTTGAGACTGGAAGTCATTTTCAGTTGAATTTGGGGAAACCATTTGTCATTTGTTGTGTTGAGCTATTTCAATTACTTTGTTTGATTTGTTCATAGCAAACAGCTGAAAGTCTGTAATTTTTGTCAATAAACCTGATTTGCAATGGGGGTTGAATAATTTCGATTTCGATTACGACTACACACACACAACCTTTGTTTGGATTTAAATAAGCAAATGCTTAAGACTCTATGATTTGATCATTATTGCTGTTATTATTATGTTTCTAGCATGTTATATGATTGGCAACAGTTCATCTAACCCTAATCGATGGAGAGTAAAGCTTTTAATTTCTTAAACAACCATGTAGAAAGACACATCACGGCCATATTCCAGGATGACAATGTCAAGATTCATCAGACTCAAATTGTGAAAGAATTGTTGGGAGGGAGCAAAAAATAATCATTTTCATTATCTCAGTCCAGAGCTTACATGCATTGAAAGTCTTTGGGATGTGCTGGAGGAGACTTTACAGAGTGCTGGACTCTTGCATTGTCAACACAAGATCTTGACCAAAAAGAGATGCACCTCTAACGTAATTTATTCCTGTAATCAAAGTTGAATTATCATTACTCCAGTCATCACTGTCAAATGATCCTTCAGAAATCATTCTAATATGCTGCTCAATAAACATTCCTTGTTATCATCAATGTTGAAAGCATTGATTGATAAACTTTATTAATCCCCAGGGGGAAATGTACATGTCACAGCAGCACAACAATAAAATGACTAAATAGAAAACTTAAACAACATTCACAACAGCAACAAGAATTATTCTCCAGTATCAATTTCGCAAAGCATTCTGATTATATACAACCAAGTAATCCTAGAATATAGTCTATCATCTTGTATAACACTGGTTGTACAATCTGATTGCGGTTGGGAAAAAAAGACTTCCTCAAGTTTATCTGGATGAAAGCAGTTATATGTTTATAGGTGTTACATATGATATTTGTAATATTTTAATTTTCATTCATTTTTGGAACTGTGCATCAGCTGGAGAAGCCCGCAGAGCTCAATGCCAACGTTCAGCCAGCCGTGATGCCCACCTCACTCGCTCCTATACCAGGGGGCACGATATGCATGGTCAGCGGCTGGGGAGTCACTCAGGTCTACAGTTATTACCTGTCCCCCGTCCTGCGTGCTGTGGAAGTCCAGATCATCCCTCAGTGTCAATACTACTACTACTACAGAATCACAGACAACATGGTGTGCGCCGGCTCCCCGCTGGGCGGCAAAGACTCCTGCCAGGTGAATCCGAGCAGTAGGGGGTTTTCTCTCTGAAAGAGAGGACAATGTGCATATCAAACACATTTTTGCTAAAACAAACAGCATGGTATAATGCTTAACACTGTGTGATCTGTGGTGACACTGTGCTGTGTTTGGCTGCAGGGCGACTCTGGCGGGCCTCTCATCTGTAATGGGTATTTTGAGGGGATCGTGTCCTGGGGCATCAGCTGTGCCAACCCTTATTTCCCAGGAGTCTACACCAAAGTCCGCAACTACGTCTCCTGGATCAAATGGATAATAGAAAATGACAACAGCTAGACAACAGAATGTCCTTTTTCCAAAGGTTGTTGAACTGTACTCCGGTCAATGTCTATCAGATAAGATGAATACCATCATTAAAAGTTGTTTTATTCTTTTTTACGTTTTCAAACGAGGAGTTAGAAACTGCTCAATTTATGAATGAAAAAAAAGAAAGAAAAAAATAAACATTTAACATAAGTTTTGGATATCAGAGACTTTTTTATGTGTGGTTAAATTCATGATTGTATTGGCACGAAATCAAATTCCAACAAACACAAATGGTCATCTTGATTTAAACTCTTTTTATTCTATTGTTAATGTTATTTCAAGGCAGGAGACCATCAAATAAATAAATCGAGTATTTTCCCAGCTTACCATCCCTGTTGGCCTATTTATCTCCAGCAATCTGCTGTGAAAAGCGAATGCTATTTCATTGCAATTCCATTGGGAATGTCAGTGTATTATTGTGCAGTGACCTTTATACCTCATCCTCACTGTTTTGGTGTGGCTAAGGAAAAGGTCGCTGTCACTCTGACTGGAAATTACATAACCTTTCAGCATGACAGCATCACACACATCAAACACAGAACATCAGGGAGGTGGGAAATCTGGGAAAAGGGGATTGGATGTCAGATCTGGAAAAACAAATTCACAGTCAAGTCTGTTGAGCCACAGAGAGACTCTACACACACAGCATAGCAACATGGGAGAGCAAAAGCTGAGACATGAGCTTGTTAATGGGTTGAATGGGCACTTGTTGGGGATAAAAGAGTTGATTCGGAAGTCCCTAGAGGCCAAAAAGTTCGCCTACTGCCCCTACAGCAAGTTCCGAGTCGGGGCGGCGCTCCTGACACACGACGGGACGGTTTTCACAGGTGAGGGAATGCCTGAAATGTAAAAGTCATGAAGTTGTACAAATATCAGACCATTTCAGCAGGGCGGAAACTAGGTTTTTTTTACCATTACATGCCAACAGAAGGACACTGACACGTGAATTACTCTTAATACACATTTAATGATTTAGTCAACATTACCCAGCTCTCAAATTTGATTGGACCATGCGACATTCAGCAGTCAGATATTTTCTAGTTTTCACTGTCTTGCACCTCAGTTATTGATTGTAGTAAGAATAGCTGCATTAGAGGAATGTATTATATAAGGACACTATTATAACACTGTCACCAATGTTGCAGTGTTCGTCTTGTTGCTAGACCGATTGTTTTGTAGCCTACATTATAATGGAAAAAATGGTGGAGGATAAAATGCAGGTGAAATTATATATAATGTCATGCATAGGTTTTCAGATGGTTTTTAGGCAGTAAAGGGGCACAAATATGGGAAAAAAATGAGATGGGGAGAATTTCAATGCTTTTTTGCATTCTATCTCAACCCCTGAAGAGACTTTGTGTCGCTCTCAAAAACTTTGCTTTACCCCGGGAAACTTTGCACTCGCTTGGTAAACCTTTTGGAAATAATACGAGGTGTGAAAGCATTAAAGTGGTTTATTTTGTTTAAAAATCTTATAAATGTAAGAGGTTGCAAGGCAGGCCTACGGGCAAAGGGCACAAAGTATTGATACAAATACTTTAGCTAAAATAATATGTTTTTAATAATGTATAAGTTAATACTTCAAAACAATCACTTTAGCAAAGTTCGTACTATGTTCTGTTTATTTTGATCAAATAATGAATTTGTTACTGTCATGGAAATATATTTTTAAAATACAAAAACAAAATTATTATTTTAAAAAGTAAAGATTATGAAAGCATCGAATGAGATCCCATAATAATTGAATATCGATTTAGAGTAGTAACAAAAAAATATATTTAATTCTATATGATTACAGAGCCTTGATCTGCTGTGAATCAGCACTTAGTGTTATTCAGCCAGGGCCGGCTCTAACCCTTTGGTTGCCCTAGGCGAAATTGAGTTTTGCACCCCCCCCTCCCCCCTCAAAAATAATAAGTATTTTTTAAACTAAACAAAAATGCTCTTATAGTCAACAATACTTCAACAATAAATGGTTCATACAAAGAACGTTCAAGGATATTTATAGTTGCATTGTACAAATATATTTTATCTGATCATAACTTGTAGTAGATCAATTACAACTGCACCTCTAGGCCTACTATTATTACTAATCTATTAGGCTGCTACAAGGTTAAGGGGGTTTCGGGGGTACCCATAAGAATTTTTTGTGCATTTTAATTTTAAATTCATCAATCTGGTGCACTTTGAGAGTTCAAAACTAAAAGCTCCAACCCATATTCAGTGTGCAAATTGAACAAAGAAAAATTCAAACCTCTTTTTATTACAGTGTCTGTCTACATTACACTACAACAATAATATATATATAATATTAATCCCATGATGACAGTAATAGCCATAGGCTATATTGTAAAACAAATGCACTGAAAAATAAAGGACACTTTCATAAGTAGCCTTATTGTACAAATTTCTATACTTGAAAGTAAGTTATATATTTGGAAGTAACCCAGCGCCGTCAATTAAGTAAAACAAAACGAATGGGCCACCGATGTACGAGTTTTATGGGCCGTTAAGACAAAAATAAAAATATAGAAAAATAAAAGTATGAGATGTATCGGCCCAAAAAGCACGTCGGCCCCGCGGGAATCTCCCGGTAGTCCCGATCATAGACATAATAAATACATAGACGCCCTATTGGCCGCTTTGAACGTTGCTGCGATACGTCAACGGGTCCGCCATTTTGCGGAGGACAAGACTGCACTGTAATCATAATGTAAGTAAACGGGGGAGCTGCGTTTTTTCTGGATAAAAACAAACTGTTTTTACATTTATCAACCGATTTCAGTGGTTTGTATGTGGTGTACAAAAAGTTCCATCTCTAGTTATTTAAAATCTCGATAGTTAGACTTGTAAAATATTTTTTTAATAAAGAATGGTCAATTAAGCTCAGGCTTGTCATGTATCTGGCTTTTTATTCTTGGATAAGAATGGTGAAGACCCCCATACTGAGATATAATTTAAGTTTTCTTATTGTGGAAAAAGCATTTTCTGTGATTGACCAGATTTTAGCAATAACAAAGATAACTGATGGATCCTTTATAATAATACGTTATGGTACAACTACAGTGCAATGCAAATAGTAAATATAACATAAAGTGAGAAGTAATAGTAAATAGTTTAGTCAATAAAATAAACAAATAGTATACAGCAAATAAAATAGTAATGATTAGTATAATTATATAATATCATAAGTACAATAATACAATCATAAAAATATTGATAATAGTAGTTTATTAATAATACTATAATAATAGCAATAGAATAAGAAATATCAATTACAGAATATACACAATAAAAAACAAGTTAAATAGTGACTTTAATATTTAATTCTTTTTGTTAAATTTCAGTTTTATTGATCAGTAATAGCCATTATAACAGAAGTAGCTTCAGTCAAGCATACAGCTGGATACAATGTTAAAATAGCCTAAATATAAAGTTATGAAACTTCACTTTGCCCTCAGCCAAAACGATTTACCAGGGACCCATTTATAGATTAATGAGACCAAAGATCGCCCGTTAGATATACACAAGACGAATTATATCTCATGTTTAACCACTAGACTACAGACATCCGAGTCAGCGGCAAAACTTCAGAAGCACTGGCCGAGGTACGGCTGTTCCAGGCGGGGTAGACGAGCGCTGAGCGCATCTTACAACTCCGAAAACGTCAGATCAAATTTTTAAATAGGCGCTATCTTTATTAACAAACCACATATTTGAGCTTTAAACAACTACATTGTCGACTGAAAAACTATTTAAACTACATTTCGTGACACAATAACAGTAGTATTTTTAAATGTATCCTCTGAACGTTACTATTACTAATTAAATCATGACCAAATACAACCAAAAACAAACGTTCAGTCTTGCTTGTGAAAGGTAATTCCTCGAAAGCTGTTTTCAATTGTGTGGCGATGTGTACAGCCCCAAGCAGCGCACAAAACAGGCATTTTTCTCAATTCCCGGTATGAAAGGTTTAGGAAAGTTGCCATTCCCAACATGGCGGCGCCGTTGACGTACGCTCCAGCGGCCAATAGGGCGTCTATGTATTTATTATGTCTATGGTCCCGATGGCCAGAACATTTGACACCTTAATGGCTGAGATGAGAACACTTACCTCTATTCTGGGCTTTCTTTTTATCTTGTTGCTTTCTCCGTTTTCGTCCCTGTGCACCAGAGGGTTTAAACCGCTTAATTTTCGATCAGCGCGCGCAGCAGCTGAGCACTTGGCTAACGTAACCATAGAACGTAACGTAACGCAACTAACCCCCGCCCCTTTAGGAAATGATCGACAATAATCATCCATTCAATCTAATAATCAGGTTGACAAGTAATTAAACGTATGGCTGAGGGGCGCCTTTTAGGATGATCATGTTTAATAAACATGTTTTTGTTTCGCTTGTCATTCTAATTCTGTGATTAAGGGGAAGTAGGCCAAGGGCGACACTAGAGGGCGCCCGCGCCCCCAACACATTTGTCGCCCTAGGCAACCGCCTAGTTCGCCTATAGCAATCGCCGGCCCAGCTGTTTTCAGCGACCATGTGTTAGTCACTGCAGTAAGGACAGTTTTGTCCTCACAGAAAGTAAATAAAAACCTTGGCCCCTGACAGGCCCCCTTCTGACCAGCCAATAGAAAGAAAACTCTGTACAAAACACGAGTTCAAAATGTACCCCATTTGTGTTTACAGTGTGATGTAACATGTTTGGACACTACGCCCAGCAGTTTCACTATAATCCTATAGTCCAAGACTAAAATCCATGTTTGCGCTGTTTTAACTGAAAGCAACTTGCTCTGACACATCTTAAAATGTTTTTGTTTCCCCCCTAAGGCACATTTTAAAAAGCTACTTAAAGTAATACTTCAAATGTTATCATTTACTCACCCTCAAGTTGTTTCAAACCTGTATGAATTTCTCTCTTCTGCTGAACACAAAAGAAGATATTTTGACAAATGTAAGAAAAAAGACAATGGTGTACATCAAACTGTTTGTTTACCAACACTCTTCAAAATATCTTCTTTTGTGTTCAGCAGAAGAGAGAAATTCATACAGGTTTGAAACAACTTGAGGGTGAGTAAATGATAACATTTGAAGTATTACTTTAAGTAGCTTTTTTAAATGTGCCTTAGGAAAAAAAAAACATTTTAAGATGTGTCAGAGCAAGTTGCTTTCAGTTAAAACAGCGCAAACATGGATTTTAGTCTTGGTGTCCAAATATGTTACATCACACTGTAAACACAAATGGGGTACATTTTGAACTCGTGTTTTGTACAGAGTTTTATTTCTATAGGCAGGTAATGATGACAGAATTTAAATGTTTAAGTGAACTATTCCTTGAAATGTCCTAATTGAACTAAGGTCTAATCCTGGCGTAATCTGAGCTTTGTCTGTGAAACCAGCTGGCCTTTAAATCCTACAATTTTACACAGGGGCCACTGTATGTTAATAAAAACCGAAAGGAATTATGACATTTTCATTATTGCTCGACATCAGGCTGTAATGTGGAAAACGCGTGCTTCAACTTGGGAATCTGTGCTGAGAGAACGGCCATCTCAAAAGCTGTATCTGAGGGCTACAGGGATTTCAAAGCCATTGCTATTGCGAGGTAAACTTATACTGTATTCAACAGGCCCTCTAGTGGCTATATATATAAGTGCTATAACATTTTAACTAGATCCAGTGAAATGTCCTACCATGCAGTGTAAGTGTCTTCTGCTCTTTCAGTGATTTGTGTGAGCACTTCATTTCCCCCTGTGGAGGCTGTAGGCAGTTCATGAGGGAGGCAAGTGTCATTTACCACAGCATTTCACATCAATTAAACAAGCAGCACACTCGGGTTTCAATAAACATGTTACTTTTGTTTACACCTACAGTTTGGTGCTAACTGGGACGTGTATATGTCCAAACCTGACGGTTCCTTTGTGGAGATGACCGTTGAGGAACTGCTGCCTGCGTCTTTCGGTCCAGAAGACTTAAGAATGAAGAAAGTGAATATTCGGAATGAGTTTTGAAGAGCCAAGAAAGTCTTAGTACCTCAGAGTTTTACCGTCTAGTTAGAAAGAGGATTAATGGTGTTTAATAATGTGTTAGGGAATGTTGAATGTTCAATTTACATACTTCAAAGTTTCAAATTATTATTATTTTTCAATAAATGCAAAGTCAATACAGTTGCAAATATGAGTCTAAACATGTTGCTACAGTACAAACTTTATTATTATGTTTAAACAATGCACATGATATGCAAATCAACCACAAAAAAGTGCAACATAAAGTCATTTTCTTAAAAGAAAATGCCAACTGATGATCTAGAGACATTTTTAACCTGATTCAACTGGTTATGTTAATTCAGATGCGGTTAAAACCTCTATTTAAATATTATTAAGTTTATGAATTAAAGAATCCTAAGCAAGTCATCAAAGTGCAAATGACATAAAAAAAAAGTATGGAGTTTGAGGAAAGGCAGCACATGCACAAATGGCAGTAAAACCCAAGTATCTTCTCAAGTTTTCAAAACGTATAGTGACCTTTTCATGCACCACAGTTTAGTAAATTTGTAGTTAGAGATTTTGCATAAGGAGAATGGGTTGACTAAACCATTCCCACACACACACATTTTTTCTTATTTCTATAATCCAAATAGTGACTGGAAAAAAGGCAGAAAGGTTACCTTACTACGAACTGCTTCTGAAGCCAGGGCCACCGCTTGGACTCACCGGGTCCTGGACAAAATCATAAGGGTGGGCCGTGGCCGCCATATACCCAGCTGTGTTAAGACACATTTAGCCCTGTTGGAAGCTACACAGAGTGGCTTTATCTGGATATTGGCATCTTTACAGTAACGAAACAACCGTATTAACAAAAAGACAGTGTACTTTGCAGATGGAAAGGCGTTTTGCCCCTAAAGCAGCAGACGAGCACATGGTGCTCTAAATGAAGAAAACCTCTACTCATAACCAGTGCGTTTTACAGAATAACTTAATATCACATAATAACTAAGTCATTTGGATAGAAAAGATGTGGAAAGCTAGATTTCAACATCTTTCACATCACTACAGCATGCCTCCTGCAATAGGTCTGAGGACAAACGGGAGTCTTATTTCTGTGGCGTTATGGTGTCCAGACCGGGCCAGGCCGGGACATAGTGTCTTGGTAGAGTTCCCTCCATGAGCCTCTCCATCCACAGACCCAGTCGGTCCAGTTTGTGGTGGATCTCCAGAGTGGTGGCCTTCTGTCGGGAACTTGACCGGGACCTCGAGGGTTTGCTTGGCCCGGCTGTGGACGCATCCTCGTCGGACCACCTGCTACATTCGGCTTCCTCCCCCGTAAACACAGGTCTGAATAGGCAGAAGTACTTCTTGTGGCCGTTGAGCGCCAGGACGTGGCCAGTGTAGTCTGATTTGTTGGAGGTGGTGTCCTCCTCTTCCTCTTCATCCAAGCAGTCTGACGGCCTGGCATCAGGAGCCGACTCCATGAGTGAATCCATCCATTGGCTGTGCTTGTCCACGTTTAAAAACGAGTAGTGAAGAGTCTGAGACCTGCAAGAGGAAGTAGGAATAGCTTTTTTTTTTGGATTTGTTTGTTACAAAAATTACGTTTAGAGCAGGGGTGCTTAGTACAGCTACTGGAGATCTACTTTCTTTCAGCATTTAATTGCATTTAATGCTACTTTCCAGAATCGGAAATAGGAATTGTCCAACTTTTTAACGACCACTGGAACACTATTTAAGTTTGGACATCGTCATCATTTGACATCATATCCAAAAGACATTCCATTGGTTGTTCCAAGTGGAGGTGGGGAAGCTCCAGGCTGAGTTGTCTGAAATGCAGCATGACTGGAAATTGGAATTCTCCAGCTTTTTATTTGAAAATGATCACTGGAACGACACTTAAAGCTGCAGTCTGTAGCTTTTTTGGGTTAAAAATGATCCAAAATACATATTTCAGGAAAATACATAACCAGCCAGTGTTCAAAACTCTCTGCTTGCCGTAGCTCGATTCAAAGCGGTAAGCTTGTAATAATGTTTTTAATTCCAATGGGACTGGTGGATTTCCGCGGGAGATTCGAGCATGTCTTTGCGTCATTACGTCACATCTGTACACACACATCTGCACACACACATCTGTACACACACATCTGCACACACACATCTGCACACACACATCTGCACACACACATCTGCACACACACATCTGCACACACACATCTGCACACACACATCTGCACACACACATCTGCACACACACATCTGCACACACACATCTGCACACACACATCTGCACACACACATCTGCACACACACATCTGCACACACACATCAGCACACACACATCAGCACACACACATCTGCACACACACATCTGCACACACACATCAGTACACACACATCTGCACACACACATCTGTACACATAAAGAAGAGTCTCGGCTAGTCGGCTATATTGCGTGTGAGGATGCTGGAGGTGGAGATTTATAGCCTTTTCTCACAGCACTTGATATAATTAAACTTTTATTAATTTGTTGGCGGATCCAGAAAGGATCAAACGACGATCACCAGTGACAGCAGATTCACCCGCTGTAACATGCAGAAGACTTCGTTCGGACTTCGGAGCGGCTACAGAAAAAAAGAGACTGCAACCGGACCCATGCGAAAACAAGGATAATATCGGAAGGACAATACATGTAGTCACGCAATGCTGACGTTGTTAACATTAACAATTTGAGAACAAAGTATAATTTGCACGGTTTTGCGTGATATGATAACTTATAAGCGATTGTTAGATTTAATCAGCGCGATTTACTGCAATGTCAGAACCAGAACAAAGGTGGATGTTTCTTACTAGTTCACAGGGGTTAAAGTGAAAAAAATTCCTGAGCCTGAACTTTTTTGGGGGGGGGGGGTGATAAATGGTGCCATTGATTATCTTCAATGGCACCATTTATTTTCAAGTATTAGCTACAGCTGTATCTTAATGGCATCTTTTTATGAAAGAAAGCCAGTATCACTAATATTATAGCTACTGCTGTCTCAATGAAAATGATTTTCACCCAAATTTTAAACGTTAGGCTTCAAAAAATATAAAAACTTTTAATTTAAGTGAACTTAAAACAATCCTCACTTAAACCCATAATAAATGTCATATTTACCTGTACCATAGAGAAATTGAATAAGGTTATAAAACAGTCCGCACTGCATAAATTATAAATGAAATATAGATTAATCCTTATCAAAGCTACAAGCGTTCTTTAGTCAAGAGCAGTTAGTAATTTTATCTGTTCCCTCTGTTCTTTAGGTTAACTTTACTGACAGACAGAATTAATGGCTCCTGTGACTAAGATCTGCCGCTGGTGACAGGATCTCACGCATCTCATTCTCTCTCTACTATTTACTTACTTCCATTTAAGATTATTTAACTCATTTAAGACCGTTCTTGTGAGAATACTCGACAAAACGGACATTCTGGCATAAATGTGTGTGTTATTGACTGTTCGTTCAAGCGCGAAAGAGAACTCAATACTGGCGCGCGTCGTGTGTGTGTGCGCGCGCGCGCGTGTCAGGAGGACATTCACTGACAGCGCGATCTCTTTTGTCTTGTCGCGCAGGAATGGTTTAAAGCATTTGCGTGAATAAGAGTGTGATCATAACCCTAGCTAAAGGATGATAGAAAGAACGGATGGATGTTGCGTTAATTGCGTTAAATATTTTTTTTTTTTAGTAAGCTACACAGAATGTTCTACATTTAATATTTAGCTAACAGTCTGAATTTACCCATTATCCTGACCTGAGCTAATTTCCCGAATCAACCAACTCACATCTCCTTTCTTTCTTTTCATCCATGATGACATTAGTCACCTGTTATTGTTTCTGGCGTTTCATCACTAACGGTGTCGCAATTTATTTTTTTATAGTCTATGGTCGCAACCGCTATAACGTTACCTGCTCATTAGAACTTTCAGTGAGCTATTTTACACAGGCTCGGTCCTGCTCCTCCGTGGCAATGACGGCGTGCGGTTAAAAATCATAACAAACGAAGTTGAAAGTGTCCGCAATGGGAAATTACACCCGTGGGTAAGACATCATCCCCGGGCTTTATGAACTTGCGCTCCATGCTTTCACCGACGACGCTAATGTGACGTATGGATCTCAATCACACTGTGGACCCGCCTGCTCTGCTTCTGATAGGCTTGTAACGTTAGTTAGAGCTGCGATCCTCTCATATGATTGGTAGGTGAAATCAAGTGACTCGAAAATATTAAACCGCAAGCAAGTTCACAATTTTTTTTTCCCCTCACGGCCGCACGCCGGAGATCCGGCACGGTGCCGGAATACTTTAAGCCCTGAGTTCAGATTACATTTTCCGGTGAAAATTCTTATGTTGGTCATACTTCCAAAAAGAATAATCTGTGATTCTGAATGCCAGTATCGACACCGGCGGCGACTGACAGACACACACTCTCCTCAAACACTGTGTTCATCCGCGCTGTGCCGTGTCGAGGGTGTTGAAGTACAACTCACGTAAAGTTGATAATTCCGCGAATGACTGCAATTGCAGATTTCGAACAGAGATGGCGACAAAGAGGAAAAACGCCGGACTGCAGCTTTAAGGTCGGAGAGCCAACTTGTAAAGTGAGAAGTGTCCTTTGACATCATATCTAAAGGACATTTCATAGGTTGTTCCATGTGGAGGTCGGAGAATCCTGGATTGAGTTGTTCGGATCGCAGCATGACTGGAATATTTTTAATGTCAGAAGTATTGTTGTCAAAAGTACCGACTTCGGTACTACGTCGGTACTGAAATCTAAATAATGTGACGATAACAGCATTTCCCTGAGCAGTTGAGCAGATTCTTAAAGGGATAGTTCACCCAAAAAATAAACACTCTTGTCAGTAATTACTCTCCCTCATGTTGTTCAACCCCGTAAGACTTTCGTTCATCTTCAGAACACAAATGAAGATATTTGTGATTAAATCTGAGAGCTGGATCACTCCTCCATAGGCTTCTTAAGGGATCGAAACTGGCCGGCCCAAAAGTTATGAAAGACATCGTTAAAATAGTCCGAGTGACTACAGCGGCTCAACCTTAAGT